TTCCTCAGTGAGTCTACCCACAGCATAAAATGGAGTCATGAAGAGCATAGCAGCATAGAGCTTTATCCTAGCACTACAACAGGAAAGGCAGGAGGAGCAGGAATTCAGAGCCAGCCTGGACCTTGTGAGACATTATTTCAAAAAAAAAAAAAAAATTTTTTTTTTATTAATGCCCAGGCTGGTGATGCATGCCTTTCATCCCAGCACTTGGGAGGCAGAGCCAACCATTTCTTGAATTTTGAGGCTAGCCTGGTCTATATAGTGAGACTCTGTTTCAAGAAAAGAAAGGAAAGAAGGAAAGAAGGAAAGAAGGAAGGAAGGAAGGAAGGAAGGAAGGAAGGAAGGAAGGAAGGAAGGAAGGAAGGAGAGGTTTCTTTTGTTTGGTTGCTTGGTTTTGTTTTTTTGTTCTTCAAGACAGGGTTTCTCTGTGTAGCCTAGGCTGCCCTGGACTCACTTTGTAGACCAGGCTGTCTCAAACACAGAGATCTGCCGGCCTCTGCCTCCCAGAGTGCTGATATTGCAGCCATGCACCACCCTGACCGGCAAAATGTTTTAAATTAAAAAATAAATACTGGAGAGATGGCTCAAAGGTTAAAAGCACTGGCTCCTCTTCCAGAGGTCCTGAGTTCAATTCCCAGCAACCACATGGTAGCTCACAACCATTTATAGAGACATCTGGTGCCCTCTTCTGGCCTGCAGAATACTGTATAAATTATAAATCAATAAATCTTCAAAGTAAATAAATAAATCAATAAGTTAAGCATGGAAGCTCCCACCTGTAATCCCAACATTTGAGAGACTGAAGCAGGAGAATGATCATGCATTTGAGGCCATTCTGGACTACACAGTAAGTTCCCGGGCAGCCAGAACTACAAAGTGAGACTGTCTCAAAAAAAAAAGACTTGTGAGACGGCTCAGCAGGTAAAGGGATATGCCACCAAATATAACAACCTGAGTTTGGACCCACATGGTGAAAACAGAGAATTGACTCCCACAAACTGTCCTCTGGTCTCCACAAGAGCACCTTGGTATGTGCATGCTTGCTCACACACACACACACACACACACACACACACACACACACAAATATATTTTTTTTTTTGAGACATGGTCTCACTGCATGGCTCTGGGCTGGAACTCAGAGATTTCCCTGCTTCTGCCTCCCATGTGCTTGCTGGGATTAAAGTCATGTGCTGCTAAGCCCAGTGAACTTTTTTTTTTTTTTTTTTTTTGGAGACAAGGTTTTACCAGTCCTGCCTGCCTGGCCTAGTTCTAACTACGTAGACCAGGCTGGCCTTAAACTCACAAAGACCAAACTGCATCTGCCTCCAAAACGCTAGGATGCCACCACATCCATGAGAACTTTTTTTTTTAAGTAGGGCTGGAAGCCAGCGGTGTGGTAGTGGTGACCTTTACACAGAGAAACCCTTATTAAAAAAAAAAAAAAAAAAATACAGAACCTTAGCAGAGGCAGCCAAAGAATTGAGATGAGTACTCTGAAGTCACATGGCTTCTCTACTAAGGGGGCATTTGAGCCCTGGGTGCCCACTGGAAGGCTGGGGGCAAACTAAGACATTATGGGAGGCATCCACATGAAGAGAAGCATGGGAGGAAGGGTGGAAAGTACACCCAGTGGCTTCATTTGGCTGGAGGATGCAGGGAAGTAGGAGAAAGATGCTGACAGGGACCACATCCAAACCTCCAGAACCTTTGTTAGGCTTCACTCAAGCTGTGGCCCTGCTAAGGTTCCATGCTGTGTAACTTTTGTTTAGACCCCAACGGCCAATTTGTCTCTTCTCTATAACGGAAGTAGTGGGAATAACTCACACATTATTTGTGTTAGTGATAAAGATGACAGGGTTGGTGGCACATACCTGTAATGCTGGCACTCACAATGCAGACCCAGAAAGACCTCAGGTTCTAGACCAGCCTGGGTCACATGGCAAACACTGGGGTCGTTTGAAACAGGGTCTCATTATGTAGCCCCGGCTGGCATGGAATCTGCTATGTAGACCAGGCTGGCCTTGAACTCACATGGATCTGCCTGCTTTTCTCCCTGACTGAGTGCTGGGATTAAAGGCATATGCCATCTTGCCCTAACATGATTTTTTGTTTTTAATTAACTAAAACAAAGCCTGTAAGGCCCCTAGTGTAGTACTTGTCACATTGCAGACAATCATGTATAACAGCTGATGTTAATACTCATTCTGCTTGGTTCTGTAGGCAACAGGAGCTCACCAGTCTTTAGGGCTGCAGAAGACTCCCATAATTAAATGCCACTCTCTAACATGCCCACCTCTGCCCTCCTAAACCACTGTGCTGGCTCCAACTTCGTGGTACCCACTTCCATCTCCTCCTCCCACAGGTCCAGAAGGACGCAGATGCTGTGGACAAGGTAATGAAGGAACTAGATGAAAATGGAGATGGAGAGGTGGACTTCAAGGAGTATGTCGTGCTGGTGGCCGCTCTCACTGTGGCTTGTAACAACTTCTTCTGGGAGAACAGTTGAGCACACAGCCCTAGTTAACAGTGCCCTTCCTCTCCAACTTGTCAAGGCATCCCCTTTATCCTGCCTTCTCCTCACCCGACCTGTACCACCCTAGGTCCCCATCCTTGCCCAGTTCCAACATGCATTAAGGGCGCAAGAGTGGCAGTCCAGATCTGCCACTCATTTTAATAATGTCTTCTCTCTCACCAACTGTCAATGTCTGTATCCTCTGGGTTGGGTATGCGTGAATAAAGAGTGCTCAAACCCAAAGCTCCTTATCTTGGAGAGTTTACCTACATTAGAGCTTATGTAAGGAACACTCGAGACCCAGAGATATAGGGGTCCAAAGTTTTAGCGGAAATCCAAGTATCATTGGCTTCTTGAGGACTTGTATGAGCAACTGGTAATACCAACGCTTAAAGGATGAGGCAGGAAGATTTTGAGTGCTAAGCCAGCTCATACTACATAGGCAGATCTTGTCTCCAAAAACAGAAACAAGCAAGCCATCAAAAACACTGAAGAAAATTGGAACATGGTAACACACACCCATAATCCCAGCACTCAGGGAGGCAGATGCAGGCAGATCACTGTGAGTTTGAGGCCAGCTTGGTCTACAAAGCGAGTCCAGGCTATCAAGGCTACAAAAAGAAACCCTGTCTTGAAAACAAAGGCCAAAACAAAACCTGAAGAAAGCTAGATATGGTTTCACACACCATGGTCGTTTAACCCAACACTTGGCAGGGGTGAGTGAATCTCTGTGAGTTCCAGGGCAGCCCGGTCTACATAGAGAGTTCCAGAACAGCCAGAGCTACATTATAGAGCCCCTGTTTCAAAAAAAAAAAAAAAATTCTAACCTTCATTCAGTGTTTACTGATGTCCCACCATTGCTAGACATTTTGTAAGAACTGGAGATACATTTGTGAGCTAAATAAGATCCTTACCCTCAGCTAAGTAAAATCCAGCAAGGAAAACAGCTTCCAATTATCACATACTGCCAGAAAGTCCTGATGAGCACATGGGGCAGTGAAAAAAATTGAAAATGTGTTCATCCCTCAAACATTTGAGCCCTTTTATAGCCCTTTATTTGAGCCCTATATCCTCAGCCTCAAGAAGAATACCAAGAGCTGGGAATGGTGGCACACACCTTTAATCCCAGTGCTCAAGAGGCAGAGGCAAGTGGATCTCTGAGTTCGGAGGCCAAACTGGTCTACAGAGAGTTCCAGGACAGCTAGGGCTACACAGAGAAACCCTGTTTCAAAAAACAAAACAACAAACAAACAATTAACAAGGGGGAAAAAAAACACATTAAAGTCAGGCTTTAGAGCTATTTACAGTTTCAAACACAGGGCCTGGGGGGGGGGGGATTTAGTTCAATACCCAGCATAGCTTGGGGGACAGCCTCTAATTAAGCATGGTGGGATACACTTTTAACATCAGCCCTCTGAGGCAGAGGCAAGACGATCTCTAGGGGTTCAAGGCTAGCCTGGGCTCCAGAGTGAGACATTCTGTGTGACGACTAGTCTTTGTTGTCAACCTTGACTGCATCTTGAATTAACCAAGCAGCTGGGGACACCTGTGACATATTTGCTTTACTTGCGTTGAGAAGACCCACCCTGAAAGTAGCCACACGGTCTAGTGGAAGTCTACATAAAAGCATGTGGAAATTGTGGGGAGGAGAGTCAGAAGACGGATCTTTTTGAGTCTGAAGTTTCTACAGAAAAACCCTACCTCGAAAAGCAAGCAAGCACCACAAACAGCGTTGAGGACAGAGAGAATCACCCAGGCTCTGAGGCTCTAATAAAGACTTTTTACACTCGTCTTTAGCTTGGGGATGGGAAGTAACAGAATACTAACACTGCTTCCAATCACACCTAAGCTGCTCTTTTGCAAACCAGAGAACCCCACCAGACTGGATCCTATATTTGTCCGGGAGGTAGTCTGGCACGTGCCCTAGCGATTTAGGTCACTGACCACGCCCCCACGGGCGAAGCACTGCACGTAACTTAAGGGACCTTTGCCAGAGTCCGCGGGGAGCCCTGCGCAGGCCAAAGAACTCATTTGGCCACGCCCCAGTTTGCGCGCGCAGTGACGCAAGTCCGTCGGCGCCATTTTAGCCAGTCACGCTGCACCGGTGGGCCTGGCAGCCATTTTGTTTTGGACACCAAGCGGGAGTTGGCGGCGCCGGCTGTGGTGGCACAGACGAAAGGCAGGAAAGGGCAGGCCTGACGAGCAGAAGAATCGGCCGGCTAGATAATCAATCCACTGCGAGGGAGCCTCCCAGACTACCGCTTCCGCATCTAACCCAACCGCCCAGCTAGCTAAGCCGAGCGCTCCGCCGTCAGCTCAGGTTCGGCCGGTCCCCGGCCCGCCCTCCGCAGCCGTGGTGGCAGCCCCGGGAGGAGCGCTGGCGTCCGTCTCCTTCGGTGAGTGTCCGTGGTGCAAGCGGAGGCGGGGCGCCGCGGGGGCGCGGGGGTGGCCGGTGTGGACGGGCATGAGGTGTGCGCAGGCCGGGGAGGGGGCGGAGCCGGGAGGCGGAGGCTGAGCCGGAACCCCGGCCAGCCAGCGGGGTTGTTGGTACTGGTTTGGGTTGGCTTGTGTGGTGGTTGTGGTTTGGTTTTGGCTTTTCGGCGGGCGCTGGGCCTCGAATCCAGTGTCTTCCTCATCTAGACAAGTGCCCGACATCGGAGCCCAAGCCTCGCCCCCAGAATAGCGTTTGATGGGGATAACAACGGAAACAGGAGGCTGACGGAGTTGCGGGTGGGTAGGGGGAGGCTGGGGGAGATGAGGATGAGGCGGAGGTTAAATAAGCACTACCAGATTTAACGACAGCTTTGAGTGTTTGTTTTTGCGGCACCGAAATTTTGAACTCAAAATCCTGCTCTGGCCAGGCAAGCGCCCTGAGTTAATTAACATCCTCAGCCTTTAAAAAATTAATAGCTTTAGTTTGAGACAGGGTCTCTCAGTTAACACCCAGGCTCGCCTTGAGCTTGTGACCGTCTTGCCTCAGCCCCTCTCCAGTATGTGCCACCAGGTCTGTCTATGGTTAAATTTTGTGGAGTGCTCTTGACAAAACTCTCAGATTGAATACCCATTTAGAAAACCTTTTCTATCTTTTCCCAGCCGTATCTTACTAGAGCTCCACTTACATTTGGAGTTGAGAATCGGTTTTTGTTGTTAGGTTTTTTGTTTGTTTGGTTGGTTTGGTTTTTTGAGACAGCATTTCCCTAATGTAGCCTAGGCTGTACTGGACTCGATTTGTAGACCAGGCTGGCCTCGAACCTACGAGATCGGTCCGCCTCTGCCTCCCCGAGTTCTGGGATCACAAGTGTGCGCCGAGTCCATCAGAATCGGTTTTTAAGCTAAGCATTTCTTCTGTTTTGAGTGGTGTGTGAGAGTTAGGGCCTCACAATGTCATAGTGTAACCCACTATGGTGCCCTCAGCCTGTTATACTGCTCCTGTCATTTCTGGGAATTGAATTTAGGGATTCATCGGTGCTAGACAAGCACACTAATACTGAGCTGTATTCCCAGCTCCTGCGTTTGCCTGGAGATCCGTGGCCCTCAGCTTTCTATAGACATCTAAGATGCACCACCAACCCCAGTTGCTGTCGCTCCCCATTCATGGCCAGATTGTAGTTTAATTGGTCTGGGGGTTTAGTTTGGTTTGGGGTCTGTCTTTTTCTTTCTTTTCTTTTCTTTTTTTTTTCTCTCTCTCTCTCTTTAGTGTTTTTGAGATGGGGTTTCACTGTGTAGCCTTGTTTGTCCTGGACTCTTAGACCAGGCTGGCAGTGAACTCAAGTCATCCGGTTGGCTCTGCCTCCCTGAGTGCTGGGATTAAAGGCCTGCGCCACCACACCCAGCTTCTTTTTCTTTTTTAACATTCCTTGGCTGAAAAGGACTGTTTTAGATTGAAAGCCAAGCTCCTAGGATTTGTCTACATCTGATTCTGCCATTTTGGAGACTTTGGCAAGATGTTCTCCATCCTGGAGCTTTGAAGTTCTAATAAATTGAGATTAACTGTCATATAAACTTAACACACATCTCACAGCCCACTCACAGGATTTCTCTATGTAGCTTTGGCTATCCTGGAACTCTGTAGGCCAGGCTGGCCTCACTCAACCTCACAGAGATCCACCTGCCTCTGCCTTTTGAGCTCTGGGATTAAAAGCCATTACCATCAGGCTAAGGCTAATTTAAGTTCTTAAAATAATTTTAATATTATCTTAGGCCTTTTATTGGTTAATGCCTTGCTTCTTATGAAATGGCAATCTTCATTATTCTGATTTACTCATGCATATTATCCTTTGTAGATTCTCGGGATCTGAAGATGGCTGCACAGTCAGCGCCGAAAGTTGTGCTAAAAAGCACCACCAAGATGTCTCTAAATGAGCGGTGAGGCAGCAACAGCAACTTCAGCTCCTCCCTAAGAAAACATTACTTAAACTGGCCCTGGGGTCCAATACACAAAAGCCAGTTGTAAGCTAAATGACAGAAGGCTACAGACCTCTGTTCTTAATTGCATCTAATGTGGTACACAAAACAAATTGGGCGGTTGTTTCAAAACCCCTTATCAGTAGATTTTTATATTAAGCTACCTGAAATATTTACCTGGTGGGATATATTTTTAAAAGACTCCTCACACCCTCCCTTCAATTTTTTTTCTGACATTGATACAGGGGTGGTGCAGCATGATGTTATGGTATATCTTGGCTGCAATAGGCTCGCTGCCTAGTCCAAGGCCAGCAGGGTTGTATCTGGCCTGTAAGAGGCAGGTAGCAAGCTGTGACTATGTCCAAAGGCCCTTGAATATCATTCTCGGGCCTTGTAAGAGGCACTCGCTTTGCTTCATTTCACTTTCTTCCCATTCTGCTTTTTAGTTTGTTTTGTTTTGTGTTCTTTTGACAGCTGTGTGTTTTCTTCCATTAAGCTTAATCATAACAGGAATGATCAAATGTCCTCATAGGCTCTTAGTGATTGAACTAATTTAACTTTCCCAAGAAGTCCTGAGTTAGAAAAAGTGATTATTTGAGACTAAGAAAAATTAAGGTACTTGAAGGCAGTTTTTGTTTCTGATAGTTTCATTTATTTGGTGTCTTTCACCATTTCATTATGTTGCTGCTGGAACTTCCAAGGCATTTAGTACCTGCTTCTGCTTCTAAAGCACATGTGCTTCTCTGCTCATCTTAGAATGTGATACATTAATTACCTGTATTTATGTGTTACAAAGTAACATTAGAATGTAGTAAACGTCCATAATTTATGTGTCTATATTATTTCAGTGGACTTTGAAGGTGCTCTGGTCTATCCTCCTGTTTGTCCTTCTCCAAAGATGTAGACATTTTTGTTTGTCTTTGTAACTGCATTCTCTGTTTCTTGTCATCATATTTGCTTAATGCTTGTTTTTCATACTTTCCACTTCTCTAAGAGCTGTTACCTGAGCCCTTGTTATCGCTTTTGATTGTGCTGCACTTGGCTGTATTTCTGAGTTTCTGGTTCTTGCAAGTTTGTGGAACAGAGGAGTCTTTAACCCACATCAGCCTTGATGCAAATGTACCACTTAAAGTTCATGGGATCTGGATCTCCTGGTCTAGCAAGCCATGAAAATGCCAATAAGTGTTTTATAATAAAGCTTTTATTTAAACACCCATTTTGTTCGACCTTGAAGCTTTACTAATATGCTGAAGAACAAACAGCCGATGCCAGTGAATATTCGGGCTTCGATGCAGCAGCAGCAGCAGCTAGCCAGTGCCAGAAACAGAAGACTGGCCCAGCAGATGGAGAATAGACCCTCTGTCCAGGCAGCATTAAAACTTAAGCAGGTGAGAGAATGGGTCCTGCCATCTGAGTCAGTCAGGCCACCAAGGCTGTCAGGATGTATTGGATGATTACAAGATGGCTCAGGGTAAAAGCTGAATTTTATCTGAACAAATATTCAAAGAATGCCAGTTTGGGCAGGTACCAGTTAAGCTTTTTAACACTTTTCTCCTAGGGAGGTTGACACCTCTGTAACCTGTGTTATCTATGAGGATTAACTGATTATTTTCTGGTCCTTGCTCTTAGGATAATTTATTTATTGATTTTTATTTTTATATAGAGGATCTTTGTGTGGTCTAGGAATGTTGCTCAATGATAGAGCACTTGCTTAGCAAGAATAAGGCTCTGGGGTTCAGTTCTCACCACTTAACAAAAAACAGGAGAAAAATTTTGTTTTCTTAATCTTTGCCCTCTGTAAAAACAGTTTACAAATTAGATTAATCTTACTCTTGCAAGGGAAGAATATAAATGGCCTTGGTCTAAGGTTTTCAATGCTAAAAACAGCACCTAGCACAGCATGGTAGAACAAGCATACAGGATAATCAAGTGTCAGTTCTGTTTCACATTTCCAGTAAGAGGTAATCCTGCTCAGGCCTGAAATAAAACCTGCTCTTTATCATTCGTAGACTTTATATGCAAGTCCGGACAGTGGCTGTGGAACAATATGTCCAAGCTGTGGCTGGGTGTCCAGAGGGCGATGCCATGCAACTGTAAGGATTTTAACTGGCAGCACTGCATGGCTGTGCATAGAGTCAGCACTTACAACCCCACCCCCACCCCAACCATTGGGCTCACTGACCAGAAATAAGCAAGGCTTTCTGCTTTGTCTACTCTTCAGCCTGGGGGGTGCTTAGGTTCATCGCTGACTCAGGAGAATAATAAGTCAGGGCCACCATTTTCCAAAAGTAATAAAAATTGTGAAGTCTCTGATAAACCATGCCAGAGGTCCTTTCAACAGTCCAGCCTCTAAAGTAGCTGCACCCACAGCTTTGTTGGTGGGATGTTATCAGTCTGTCCACTAGCCATGACCTGTCAAAGTGTTGCTACTGCAGTTGAGGGGCTTTTTTTTTTCTTTTTTCTTTTACTAATATTAAGGCTAGATAAAGGGGACACAGTTGTAATCTCAGCAAATGGGATTATGAGCTCAAGGCCAACCCAAATTTTGTTTTGTTTTGTTTTGTTTTGTTTTGTTTTTGTAGTGTGGTTTTGAGACCAGAGTCTCACTCTGTGGCTACAGTTGGCCTGGAATTCTATATGTAGACCAAAGTGTCTTCAGACTCACAAAATTATGCCTGTTCTTGTCTCCAGAGTGCTGGGATTAAAGGTGGGTGCCACCACACCTAGAACAAAAACTTAATTTTTTTTAACTTAAGTAGCCATATGTAATTAATGGCTACCTTATATAGTGCAGCTCTAGAGTAAAACTGAGTAGTACTATCAGTATACATAAGTGTCCAAGGGGAGCAGCAACTACAGATGAAGATGAACGTCACACTATTCTTTCCCAAAGCAAAAGACTCAGGGAAATGAGTGTAGTCAGTAACTAAGCATGAGAATGAAGTCCTGAGTTAATAATCGCATGCTAGGATCTGGAGGTACTGTTCAGGGTTAAAGTATGCCTACCATGGGCATACTTTAATGTGCTTTAGGCCCAACACCACAAAAATGATTGTGCTAACTGGGGAGTGACAAGACATGCCTTTAGGGTTGGTTGTCCCTGACTCTATAAGATGTCTAATGTTAAGGGCCTTTCTCCTCTAATGGGAAGCAGTTGAAGGTTTTGTGCTGGAAAGCTAATGATAATGCCACAAGATCTTTCTCAGAGCTCTTAAGTCAGGAAAAACATATATGGAAAGACATTTGTATATACCCCTGCTGTTAGTATGTGATGGAAGTTAATTGTGTGCAAAAACACGCTTTTCATTAATACTGACTGGCTTTCTGGAAGAACAGAATTGCAAGGGCCTTGGTTGTATTCAAGGCTGCATTGTTTGTTTCCTTTTCCTTTGAAGAAATCTAATTCTCTGAGGTGTGAACTTCAGAGTCTTTTGGAGAAACTAGTTATTGAAAATTGTTATCTCTAGTTTGTCCCTGTGTGGCACTTTGGGGTACTTGTTTTAATTTAAACATGAGTTTGGCAGGCTCGCTATGAAGATACAATTGAATTTTGTGTTTAAGACCCTTCTACTGGCTTAAGGGAACTGTTGGTAGTGGGAGATGTGGACTTTACAGATATTTAAGAAATGTAAGGAAAGGAATGTTGACTTTTTTGTGTTTATTTGTATCTTAAGGTTAAAAAAAAAAAAAAAGGACCGTCTGGAGTTAGATA